AAGTCAGTGCTCAAAAATCAATAGCATCCCTTTACACACACAAAAAACTCACTGAGAGACAAAATATGGAAATATCACCTTTCACAATAGCATCTTAAAAAATGAGATACTTAGGAATCAAGCTAACCAAGAATGTAAAAGACCTATATGCTGAAAATTATACTACTCTTTAAAAAGACATTGAATAAGACGTTAGAAAATGGAAGGATATTCCTTGCTCTTAGTTCAGAAGAACCCACATTATGAAAATGGCTATACTCCCCAAACTGTTACACAGGTTCAATGTAATCCCAATCAAAATACCATTGACATACCTCACAGATCTAGAGAAAACATTCCTAAAATTCATTTGGAAACAGAAGAAACCTAGAAGAGCAAAGACAATTCTGGGCAACAAAGGCAAGGCAGGAGGCATCTCAATGCCTGACTTGAATCTATATACAAAGCTACTATGATGAAATCAGCATTATACTGGCAAAGAAGTGAACCTGAGGATCAATGAAATAGATTAGAAGATGCAAACACAACTACAAAGACACTCAGCCACCTTTATTTGACAAAGGGGCTAAACATGTTCATTGGAAAAAGGATAGCCTCTTTAATAAATTGTTTTGGAAAAAGTGGCTCTCCACATGCTGAAGAATGAAACTAGACCCATGCCTATTACTGTGCACTAAGCTAAAGTCAAAATGGATCAAACATCTAAATATTAAAAGAGAAACGCTAAACCTACTGGAACACAAGGTAGGTCGAAGTATGGCAGTCATACAGGTAGGCAAAGAAATCATGAACAAAATGCAAACTGCACAGCAAATACTTCAGGGAGTCAACAACTGGGATCTCATATCATTGAAGGTTTTTGCACTTAAAAGAAAACTCAAACAGAGTGAAAACAAAACCCATGAAATGGGAAAAGTCTTAACCAGCAACCCCTCAAACAACTTATATCAAAAACATACTAAGAATTAAAAAACAGCAGGTCCCAAAAACTCAAAGACCCTCTCCACAAATGAGCATGTGAGATAAATACACGGTTTTCAGATGAAGACATACAAATGGCAAATAGATACATGAAGAAATGTTCACCATCACTGGTCATTGAAGAAATGCAAACTAAAACAGCACTGAGATTTTTCTGGAGATTTTCACTCCAGAAAGAATGGCTGCCGTCTAGAAATCAACTAGTAACAAGTGTTGGCGAGGCTGCACGGAAAAGGAACACTGCTCCACTGTTAGTGGGAGTGTAGACTGGTGCAGCCACTATGGAAATCAGTATAGAGAATTCTCAGATGACTAGGATTGGAAATGCCATTCAACCCAGCTATTCCTCTCCTGGGTATTTTCCCAGTAAAACTGAATTTATCACGCCACAGTGATATATGTGCACCGATGTTTATAGCAGCTCAATTTGTAATAGCTAAATCTTGGAAACAACCAAAATGTCTATCAACTGCAGAGTGGATGAAAAAGATGTGGTATTTTTATACAGTGGAATATCACTCAGATATTAAAAACGATGATCTTGAGGCCCTTATAGGTAAATTGAGGCAACTGGAGACTATCCTCATAAGTGAAGTAAATAAGAATCATATTTATAAATGTCACATTGTCTCTCTGGTGTAAAAAGTAATAAAAACTGTAAGAATAATAAGATACAAAATGTGTAATAGTTATTTTAAAAAAGGAAGGGAGGGAAAGTGCTCTAAAGGATATAACTGCATGTATGTTTAAGTGTTAAGATAGATGACCATATTACTAAGTTTTGTTGGATCATTCAACAGAACGATTTGCACTCCTGTTTTTGTTCACTTTGTATGCTTTAATTTTGTTACTTGAACAACTATTTCCAAGTTGACAATATGTAATTTATCAACTAGTGATTTCTTAGTGTTAATTTTTTGAAATTCTGTATTATTTGTACCCTTTTTTATGTTTTGCTTTATTTTCTCTTTAAATAAAAAAAGAAAATGAAGGAAACAATCTTCTCAGTTACCAGTAATCTACCAGTTTTATTGTGATTTCAAAAAATTGCATATTTCACATTTTTTATTACTGTTGTACCTGTTCATGTATAACTGGTAATTCATGTTTTCTCTGGGATTCACATTTAGAGCACACTGATAGATATTAATATAGTATTTATGTTTATATAAACTCTATATATTTTATATATACATTTATATATTTGGTCCATATGTGTATACCTAAAACTTGGAGTCTGATATTTAAAAATGAGGAAGAAAATATTAGGATAATAACGATAATTAATACATTACATACTGTCATCTTTAAGCTAGTTACTCATAGTACAAGAATGAAACATAATATCTTCTCCAACTGATATTAGTATGACCTTCTTTGTTACTTAGCACTTTTCTCCCTTTTGCCTTACTTCCTTTCATGTTCCCCATCTGCTAGTTCCCTTTTGGTTTTAAACAACGACTTCCCATTTCACATGTATGGCACATTCTAGACCTCATTTACTCTTTCAGTTGTTCACACCAGGGATACAATATGATGTTTACACATAAGTATGATTTATTATACTTACGAGTATGGTCTCAAGTTGCATCCATTTTCCTTAAAAATATGAAATTTATCCTTCTTTAAGGTGGAGTAACATTCCGTTGTATGAACATGCCACAACATTTTTATGCATTCCTTGGGTGACAGGCATCTGAGTGGTTCCCAAGACTTAGCTACCATAAGTTGTGCTGTTATAAATATGAGTCCACACATCTTGCTGTGGTATGATGATGTTAATTTTTCTGGAAAAGTACCCAAAAGGGGAATGGCTAAGTAGAACGGGACCTCTAATCCTAGCTTTTGAGGAATCACCATTCAGATTTTCACATTAGTTACACCAGCCTGCACTAACACTGAAAATAAGAGTTTTCCATTTTCCCAGCAGCCCTTCCAGCATTTGCTATTGGTTGATTTCTTGATAATAGCCATTCTTCTGGAGTGAGATGAAATCTCAGTGTTTTGTTTTGTTTGTTCCAGGAATCACAACCTGGCACTTGCCAAGCAGGCACTGATGTTGCTGAGCCAAATCCCCAGCCCTCTCAGCGTTGTTTTAATTTGCATCTCCTTAATGATCAATGATGTTGAGCATTTTTTCATACTTTTGTTTGCCATCTGTATTTCTTCATCTAAAAAGTGTATATGCATCTCAGATGCCCATTTGTAGATTGTGTCTTTGAATTTTTTAAAATTCTGTATAGATTCTAGATATAAGTCCTTTGTTTGAGGTACGACAGGCTAAAATTTTTCCCCACTCTGTGGGTTGTCTGTTTACTCAGTTGATGATTTCTTTTGATGTGCAAAAATTTTTAATAAAGTGAGATTCTGGTCCTTGATTCTTTGAAGTATTTCTCATGCAGTTTGGGTTTTATTTATGAACTCTGTGCCTACATCTATGTCTTCAAGATTTCTCCCTCCTTTCTCTTCTAGCAGATTTACTATTTCTATATTAATAACTAGATCTTTGATCAATTTTGACTTTACCTTAGTCACTGGTGAGAGACACGGGTCTAGTTTTAGTCTTCAGCACATAGGAAGACAGTTTTTCCACAACCATTTATTAAATAGGCTATACCTTTTCAGTGAACATGTTTGGCTCCATTGTCAAAGGTGGCTGAGTATGTCTATATATCTCTCCTGCTGGTCATTGGGTCTGTTGATTGCCAGTATCATGCTAATTTTATTACAATAGCTTTGTAGTATAATTTCAGGTCAGGGATTGTGATGCTTCCTGCCTTGCCTTTGTGCCCAGGATTACCTTTGCTATTCTAGGTCACTTCTGGTTCAAAATGAATTTTAGGAATGTTTTCTTTAGTTAGTGAGGTATGCTAATGATATTTGATTGAGATTGCATTAAATCTGCATAACTATTTGGGAGTATGGCAATTTTCATGATGTTGGTTTTTCCTATCGATAAGGAATATGTTTCCATTTTCTGATATCTTCTCTGATCTTTTTCAGAGTACTGTAATTTTCAATACACTGATCTTTTACTTCTTTTGTTACACTGATTGCTAAGTATTTTATTTTTCTGATGCTATTATTTTTGGATGTGTTGTCTCCCTAATTTCTCCACTAGTTTGCTGTTTTGTACAGGAATGCTACTGATTTTTGAATGTTCACTTTGTATCCAGCTACACTAGTGACTGTGCTTATTAAATCTGTAACTCTTTATGTAGAGTACTATGCCATTTTCAAACAATGATAATTTCACTTCTTCCTGTATTGTCTTTATTCATTTTATTTTTCTCTCTTGTCTAATTGCTCTTGCTAATGTTTCTAGAGTTAATATGAATAGGAGTGGTGATAGTGAACATACTCGCCTTCTTTCTCATTGTTCCGGGCATTAGCTTGGGCCTGTTCTGTGGCAAGTTCAACATTCCAAGCTTTCCAATCAAGATATTGGCCCGGGCTGAGCACCGCCTTGCACAAACTGGCCCAATCAGCAGGTGTCATGGCATTTCCTGCCAGGGCTTCTACTAGGGACAGGGTATACGCCCCGTTAACACCGTACATGGTGCTGGCCTCCTTAAGATGCTTTATCGCCTTTATATCTATAGGCAGGTGGGCTCTGTTTCCCTGAGCATCTACAGCAACTGGAAAAGCCTGGAGAAAACGGCCCAGGCCTCCTGGGTCCTCTCTTTTGACTTGATGCCAAAGGTCTTCCTGGAATGTCCCTTTTTATTTTTATTTTTATTTTTATTTTTTTTCTTTTTCCTCTTTTTTTTTTTTTTTTTTTTTTTTGTAACAGGGACAGCTTATTCCCCGCACCCCTTTACGGCGCCCCCAAAACCTGCCTCTTTACAGCACCGGGAACTCTCTTTACGAGTTCCTTGACCCTTGCGACGCGTCCGCCCAAGGTTGCCCGATAGCCCCCGCCATCTGGACCGGCAGCCCCCGCTACCAACTTTGAGCAGTTTAACCTGTCAGCCCCTGCCTGCCGAGTAGCCCCCGCTATCGGCGCTTGATGGTTTTACCTGTTAACATCTCTGTTCCGTAGGAGAGTCTCGTTCCCTGTACTGTCAGAGAGAGGGTCTCAGCGTTCTGGGAGAGAGGGTCTCAGCGCTCCCTGTACAGGCCACCAGTTGACCGGTGCAGCTCCCCAATGAGACAGGAGACGCTCTTGTGGGCGACAGTTAACTGCTGGTTTATTTACGTGGGCTCTGGTTTATATATTTGGCCGTGACCAATCACAGGCTGCCATGAGGAAGCAGGGCGGGAATGGGACGCAGGCTCTGGCTATTATATCCAGCTGTGGGCAATCAGGAGTTGCCACAGAGTACGGAGTGAGCACGAAGTGCACATGGGTTGGCTAATTTAAAGAGGGACGTAGCGCATTGCGGAAGCTGGCGTGGTCCTTAGTCCCGGGTGGGATATGGTATGTTGAGCGCCTGTCCCCAACACTTGTTAACAGCTAATCTACAGTGTCTATTGCTTCAAGAACAATATCTCTCTTAATATATATAATTTCATTATCTAGAATAAAGAAATATTTGCTGACTTCATTTCAAAGACATACATAAAAGAACATTATGGCATTTATAACAGAAAATATGAAAGGCAGCTAAGTGCCCTCCAAAGTAAAAAAAAAAAAAATAGATCATATTACATTTTTACTATCAAATATTTAAAACAAATTCACATAAACTATTTTAGAAAATTGATAACACATATTAAGTGAAAATAAGCCTGCAAAATCAATGAAGAGTAATGTTTCCTTTTCATAAAATAGTATTTGTAATCTTATAAAATTTTACATAGATATTTATACAAATTTAAAATGATATGCACATGAAGACTTCGAAGTGTATTTATCAGAATATTAATCAAGATTTTTGAGAGATTTACAGGTAAACTATATTGGACTCTATAACAAACATGTCTGTGTTAGTCAGACTTCCATTACTGTAACAAATGCTATAACAAATCTCTACTTTATTTACTACAACAAATATACCAACTTCCAAAGAGAAAAGATCTATGTGGGCTCACAGAGAGTGAATAATCAGTTGGTTCTATTCTGTTTTTCCAGGAATGTCACACTGTAAGGAATGGGTAAGGTTCCAGGAAGTGAGAAGGGCAGAATAAGGACTCGAGATGCTACTGTCTCCTTTGATATGATGCTTCCGATGACTTTATCCCTTCTCACTAGGCTCACCTCTCATGAGCTCCGCAGGCTAGTGACCAACCACTGCACACATGGGCTTTTAGGGAACATTCAAGATATAAATAACTGCAGGGAAAGAGTGCTATTACAGTCGTGGAAAGCATGCTATATTGTAGTTGAAATGTTTTAGTTCCTCTCATTTCCTTCCTGGGGTATCAAAGAAGACTCTTATTTATAATAAAGGTTCTCTAGCAAGCAGGCAGTATTCCAAGAGGAAGCTCACTCTGAATTGTGGCAGTCCAGTAGGCAGATGGGACGCTGTCATCATTCCTAGGAAAATCAGCGATCTCACATGACAGCAGAGGTGGCTCAGGCACCCAGCATCTGTTGCTCAGTGACCCAATCAAGGCTGCTATGCCTAGCTTCATGAAGAAACCTTTCAGCTTTCTAAATTCAGCTCACCTGCCAGAAAAACATCATATGATAGAAGCAAACAGACAAACAAAGACACTCCTGAATCCTATGGGAGAAAAGCAGATTTCTCAAGTCAGGTTTATACCCATAGCACAATAAAATGTGTAAGTAAAAGATGAATAAAGGCTGTCTTTTGACTGAAAAATACCACTCAATACAAGTAACATGAATGAGTCACAGGTTTAAAGAATACTTTTCCCTTTAGCTAGCATAGATAGCCTGTGATATAAGCTCAGTCATCTCAGTCATTTCTTCTATTTTCATGGAATAATGAAAAGACAATAAACTTTGGGCTCCTGGGTCCCTGTAATGAATTCAAATTATTCCACAGACCACTTATGAACTATCAGTTATGAAATAACCACTTTTTTCTATGAACTTGTTTCTTAATCTACAAAATGACTGTGAAGACACTCACCTCAGAGGGCTTTTGTAAAAATCAGAAGAAGCAATAAACTCAGTTCAATGCCTGGCACATTGTGAACACCTAGTCTGTTAGTCCCTTATTGCTTTCTGTTCAGTCACTTTTGTTCTTTCAGTGAAAGACTCCTGAGAAAGCTTGTGTGGCAATGTGCAGTAGATAGGTGTGCTGTTGGTAAGAAAAGAAACACTCATTTTGCAAATGTTGAAGTACCTACTATACACCATGCCCTATAGAGGCAATGGTGAACAGGAAGTTCTGAAAGATGAATCTGAAACCTAGAAACACATTTTTCTAATAAGGCATTTGCTGGTTCAAAAGGAACAGCTATGAGCATAAAATGGCACTTTAAACAACTAAGAAATGGAGACTTTTGGAAAATTGCATAGATTGGAGTTAGAGCTAAGTATCTGCCAATAGGATGAAACTTTGCTTAACATTTCACTTTCATTTGGAATCCCCAAGGTTGTATTCAAGTAACAATGGAAAAGCAAAAATAAATCAGTCTCCAACTTTGGACAGCTAAGATTCAAACTGAATTAAAGTTATACTTCCTACTCCAACTGCATCTCGAAAACAAAGCAAAATATGAAATCATCTCTACAGAGAGATATGAACTTCCAGAGGTTCATATAGTTCCAATAATTGTGTACATACAATGTCCAGCAATAGTAAAATGCAAGTAGATATAAAAATAAAATTAACTGAAAACAAAGCAATAAAAAATATTCAAAATTTGTCCAGATAATGGAGCTTTCTAGCATACGATTTTGTTTCGCATGTGTAAAGAAATATACAATAAAGGGGAAACCTACAAAAGTTTGTTTCAATAGAACTTTGTAGGACCAGAAAATTTAGAAGTCTATAGATGAGTTTAAAGTGGATGTTAAACTCTGCTGCTGAAGAACAAAGCTCACAAAGTGAAAGAAACAGAAAATATCCAAAATAAAGAAAATTAAAGAATAGAAAAGAAAGAAGCCCAACATAATGAAAAGTTCTACTTGTATAGAGTCTGGGGGCAGAGATATGAAAGAGAAGAATAAAAATAACAAATGGAAAATAATGATTAATTTTTTTCTAAATCTGATTAAAGACATAAAATTGCAGATTCAAAATACTGTGAAGTCAATAACAAAGCATATTAGGCCTGTGCACATCATTTTAAAATCGGTTCAAAGAAAATACAAAATTCTTCAAAGCAGCAGTAGAACAAAGGTACAGTACATTTAAAGGAATTTTCATTAATGTCTCGTTAGAAAAAGTAGAACGTGGAAGACAATGGACTTATGCCTTCAACATTTTGGAAGAGAGTAATTGTCAACCTACAGGTCATGAACAGAAAGCAAACCAAAATTCTTGCCAGTGGATTTATAAGAAGTAAATAACAATGATTAGAAGGTGGGAAACATGAATAAATGTAAATGTATGGTTGATATTATAAAGAGAGTAGAGGGGCTGGGGGTTTAGCTCAGTGGCATAAGCACATGCCTAATGATCAGGAGGTCATGAGTTTGATCCCTAATAGCAAATAAATAAATAAAAAATTTTAAAAAATAGTAGAAACTTTAAAAGCATAACACAAATTATAAAAGGTGAGAAGAGTCTTTAAAATATCTGAAAAATGGTAAAAGTACTGTTTTATATCTACATACTACAGCACATCAAAATATGTGTTGTAGTCTCTGGTTGCAATCATTAAAATAACAATAAAGTAAAGCATAGCAAACAAACAAATGTGAGAAATCAATACAAGGAGACCCAAAGAGCAGAAAAATAAATATAAAGCAGTTAGTAGTACAGAAAGTAAATAAATCTAAATTCTTCAGAATGTTTAAATCTAACATTTAGTAAGTAGATATGAACCTTGCGAAAAGTGACCGTGTGCTGTCAATAAAGTAGCTGTCAAAAAATTCCAAAATATTGAAATTATGCACATCATATCTTCTGCTGAGAGTAATATTATGTGAAATAATAAATAATAAAAATGTAGCTGTAAAGTTTCTAAATATTTGCAAATCAAGAAAATGAGCAATAAATTACCTGTGTAGTATTTAAGAAAAATTATCGTGAAAGTAGTCAAGTACTTGTAAATCAAATGGAAATGTTGCAGGCAGCTGAGTAAGTTAGAAATTCTATAGGCAGTGAGACAGGGCTAGGTCCTAGAAGCAGCCAGTGCAGAAGCCCAGACATCTTGCAACTATGGGGGAGACAAACATCTACTGCTGTTTGCCAAGCCTGAAGACAAAATACCAATCAAATGCATCCATATCCTAAGGACTGATATTCTAAATAGTTCCCTATCACACTGAGGAAATCAGGAGTCACTATTCCAACTTCCTATGGAAGTGTCACTACTCTCTAAGAAAGCTCGCTTTCTCCATGACTGGTTTCCCCATTTGTCCCCAATTTAATCAATCTTACCTGAACTATTAATCTTATTGGTTAACCATAGTTCTGTCCTACCTTATGCCTGTCTGCCTTGTGAGTTCCCAGTTTCCAACTTAATCTTCCACCCATGATTTTACTCTATAAAAGTTCTTGGAAAAGACAGAGTCCCTGGCTACCCATTCGGGACCAGTTCTGTCCCTCTCTCAAACAAAAGCTTTCTTTCTCTCAATAAATATATAATGCTCTTAACCTTCATTATTCCTAAAATTCGTTCTCTTGTTTTAGACAACAGGAACTCATAAAGGGCATAGTAGGTCAGGAGTTTCATTCTCCTGTATCAGAAATAAAACATGAAATCTTGGGACTAGCATTGAAAAACAGTCTTAGAAGGAAATATACAATGCTACATACTTTTATTAGAAAGGACAGACTTTTTTAGATTATTCACATGTCCATTACAAGAAGTTCAAAAAACAAATAATGAAGATTCCAAAAGAATCTTAAAGAATAAGAGGCTGAATATTTAGCTCAGTGAAACAATGCTTGTCTAGAAGGCTGGAAGCCCTGGGTTCAATCTTTGGTACTAAAAAATGAAAAACTAAAAAAATCATAAAGCAGGAAATAATAAAAACAGAAGAAGAAAATAACCTAAAAGATATAAAAAGGTAAACAAAAACAGTGGATTTTTTTTTTACAAGAATAAGAAAATCAAATCAACAAACCACTAATAAGACAGACAG